TGATAAAAGTTATGTTTTACCATTTGTTCACATACAAAATAATATTTTTTTCTAATTTAAACAATAGAATTCAAAAGTTAAAATTGGATATTTATTCAAAATTATGCATTAAAAATATAAAGTAACACTTTTTGTAAAACAAAAATAAGAGTTTAAAATGACACTTATTTTGAAACGAATGAAATATATCTTATAGTATTCTCTTTCACCTCTATAATGTGTTCGCTCACTTTCTGTGATATGTTTAATATCTGCATTTTCATCTCCTGAAAACTTTAGTAATCTAGACGATAAAGTTCAAATAATACAATACACAAATTTTATAAACTTTCATCTCAAAATCAATTAGCAATGATTAGCTCAAGGAACAACAAGATGTTTCAATTCAATGTTGAGCTCATAACAAATGTTAAATTATCTCAACGTGTACCTTCAGATGTGACCTCAATGTCTTTCCACAGTACTCTCTGTCTTTCTAGTTCCTTCTTCTACAACAACTTCTGTAGCAGCCGCAGCTAGGATGGTGAAAGTTCAAACAAAAGACTTTAGGTTTTTAACTATTTGTGGATTTTTTTTACCTGGCAAGAAACCTCATGGAAGCTTGAGAGAACGAGACATATTGCTACACACAAAACCATACATTTCCTTCCCATCGCAGAGATTGTCATTACAAATACCAAGTTTAAGTCACTGGCTTGATCCTTTGAAATCAACTTGTTTGAAGCAAAAATGTTGTGCTTTATATAGAGCCCGTGATATATAGACAAAAATCGACACGTTTTTCTAATAATATAATAATGTAAGCAGCATTACATCATATTACGTAAAATATCTCTTTCTGTATCGACTAAAAAAGTTGAAATAATTTATTGATTAAGAGTATCGTTTAGTGGCTTGTAATACCCCTTCTTTGAAAAAAGACATGCTTGGTAAAAAAAATTAACTTAAGAATGCTTAACACCAAAGAATGCTTAATGAATATGATGACATCTTTGTTGTCTCAAAAAATGGATCTTCTCTTAATTACTTCCTCTGTTTAAAAATAAGTGTTTGACACTTATCAGATAAATTAAGAAATTTAATAAAAAGTCTTTTTATCCCTTATAAATACATTAAATAATTTTCTCTTTTTAATTAATACACTAATGTACTAAGGTTAAAACTGAATATTTAGTTATAAATTTATATTAGAAATCCAAAAGACACTCTTTGTAAAAAAAAAAAAACTTTAAATTAACACTCTTTATGAAACAAAGGAAATATAATTTTTAATAAACGCTTGTTACAGAAAATGTTTAGTTATCTAGTTACCATTTTTTTCTAATTAATGGCTTGCGCCCATCACTGATTTTATCTATTTCATATATTTTTATAATAACCTGCATTATTCTTTTCTTCATGAATCTCTCTTTTATCTTGAAAAATATAGGCTATAGATATATAAGAATCTGATGTTGACTGATCTAATATATATTAACATGATCTAGAAAAATAGAAATAAAAAAACAATTGGCTTTAAATTTGTTGATATGTGGTGGAAAAAATCATGTATTTGTTGACTATTATACATGTAGACTACATGAAGTAATAGAGGTGGGGTTACTAATGCAAACAAATCAGGTCATATCCTTTTCTTCTCATTTTTTTTCTTCCCATTTTCAACAATCCCATCGAATTGGTTTTACATGCAATATTGAGACGATTGTTGGAGTAGAATTTGTCATCCCAAATCCGACCCATTTAAGCTCCACACTAATATCTTAAAACTAAGTATAGTTGATTGGGTTTCATCTATACGGCCAGGTCCAATCACCATCTCCCACTGCTGCTTGACAAAACAAGCAAAAACGCACATGGGTCAAATATTTGATACGACATGTTTTCTTACAAATACAAAATGTGATGAGGCTCGGATGATTACCTCCTCTTTGTGTTCTTCACTCTTAAGATGGTCAATGAAATCATCAAAGCTTTGGCTGGGAATTTCGCATAGTCTGCAAAACCAGGCATCATGTTCACCCTTCTCAATGCACTTGTCCTCAAGTATCGGGCTGTTTGTCTCCAAGGGAGGAAACAATTTCTCTGTGGACAAACAAAAAAACTAACTAGTTCAGAAACAGCATATTTAGCTTTGCTGGTTGTTAATACGAGAGATGAGAGAAATTACCTTTCAACCAGTCTTCCCAAAGCCACTCTTTATAAGAGCCATAGGTTTCGGCTGGCCTACAGACTGGAAATGCGCGCAGGATTGTGTACCCATCGTTGAGAAGTAATGGGCTACACTACGACTTATTACCCGAAATGAGCATTGCATTGTACTCCCGCTTTCCCAAACCTGGAATACGCCTTCTCCAATCGTCCAAAACATCATCGACTTCCATCGCACCACCATCTGGAAAACACGGGCCAGTTGAGTCTAAACTATAACTAAAAAAAATTCCATTACTGGTAGTAAGAGACTAACCGAAGGGGGTGTGTATAAGAAGGATTCCAGAGGAGGAGATCTCATTTAAGACTTGACAAGAGATGAACTCTAGGTTGCCAATGGCAAAAACGGTGACGGAAGATCACCAAAGAGCTTCTTCAAGGCCGATTCGATGCTCGGACCGACACGACCAATGTCATAACCAGGGGGAACCGGACAGGTGTCGAGGTCCCACAACACCACAGTGGTTTTAGGCAGCGGGTAATGACTCTTGCTAAAAGCTAAAAGGAAACAAATCGCAGTTAGTTAGTTAGTCTTATTAACCCAATCGAATTTCAGATAAGCATTGAGAGTAAATGAAACTTGCCTTTGCATCCACAAGAAGCACTGCTGTAGTGACAAGCAGAACTGCTGTAGTAACAAGCAGAACTGCTGTAGTAACAAGCAGAACTGCTGTAGTGGATGATCATGTTATGGCGGTCGTAGCTACTGTACTCGCAAAATCCGCAAAACAAAAGAGGTTCATCGAACTACATCCGTCCCACAGTATATTTTTATGGTTAACAAAAAAGAATTTTAATGATACAAAAAAGCTGTGAGACATCATAACCTCGGGTGAACATGCACTTGCACCTGCGTGTTCTCTACTCATAAGATGCTCGATGAAAGCATCAGAGCTTTGGATAGAAATTTTGCATACTCTGCAAAAGCAGGCAGGTTCAACCGTTTCCTCAAGTGTCTCCTCCACCACAGATGGTCCAGATGGTCCTTTAAGGAGGAAGGTTTCCACTCCAGGGTTGGGCTGGTGGCTCACTATTTGGGAATGCGTGCAAGGCAGTGTACCCAAAATGGAGTAGAGAGTGACTAAACCACAACTTATTACCCGATATGAGCATTATGCGACCAGCTGGAGTATGCTCTATCCAGAGCACAAAACATCAAAGAGTACTGGCGCCGTACCGAGTGGGGTGGGGGCGTGGCTAAGAAGGATTCCAGCGGATGAGACCTCTTTCAAGATATGAGGAGAGATGATTTCTAGGTTGCCAATGGCAAAGATGGTTACTGGATTAGGACCAAAGTGCTTCCTCACCGCCGATGCACGGTCGGACACGACCAACGTCATAACCATCAGGAACCGGACAGGTGTTGAGGTCCCACCACACCCCCGTCTCCCACCGATATTTCTTGTTCAAATCTAAAAGAAAACAAGTCGCACTCGTTTAGTCAGATAAGAAATTCAATCGCAGGTCGTTAAATCTAGAACGAAAATCAAATATATCAGATAAGCAACCCGAGTAATTTACCTCGTTCCATATAATCTGCGAGGAAAGGAGTTCACAGGTTTAGGGTTTCGATTCGGTAAGATGAAATAATGTGTATGTTCAACCTAAAATCATGCCGCTATATACAACAGATGTGGGCTAACGAAATCGGATTCTTCGGTATTTCCATACACCGCTTTGGGCTATTTCCATACACCGCTTTGGGCTTGTGGCCCAACATTTTTATTATTTTTCTTATTTCGAAACAGTCCATTACGCGTTGGTTGCCGTCAGCCTCCTATACTATATATACTATACGTGCTTTACTTAACTTTTCAAATTATATATTTTTACCTATTTTCATATAAATAATTTAAGTACAGTCAAAATTTATTAAATTCAGGTGCCTCAACACACTTTTTTAAAATATCTAACACATGATTATTTTACTTATATTCACAGCATACATTTATATAGTAAAATATGACAACACAAACTATTTTTTTTTAAAAAAAGCAAAACAAAACTAACACATAGTTATTTCACATACATAAACATGTCATTCTATTGTTTCAAAATCAAATAGAAACTGAAAAGATTATTACTTAGTAGCACGTATTTACACGTATTGATCGCCTTTTCTTGGGGACATTAGCCACTAATGAATCACATGATTAGTTCCTTTATCTTTTGCATAAGCAAATGCTACAAGCTCGACTCTATTTCCCATGGTTTAGTTTAATTGAAGTTTAATCAATATATAAACACATGAATCCAAAATTGGTTACAAGAACGAAGCTCAAGTATAATTAACATTGAAAACTTTAGAAGAAACAACAAATCGGGCAGAAAAAGACTTGGAATACACATCAGGATCGTCATGATATGCGATAGTTACATCGGTCTCGAAGTTTTGGGAATAAGTGAAAGAGTCATATCGAGCATGATGATCAAGAATATGATATTTCTTCTTTTGCTTCACCATCATTATCTTTCTCCACATCAGTATCCATTTTGAGACCTTCTTCATTCTCAAAACATCTTCAGAAGGATCTTGGATCCGATCATAACCGTAAGTTTTCGAACACATTTGATGTTCTTTGTTGATCCTTGAACCGCACAGCTCCATTAGAGCATATGGAAATAAAAGTTTTAAAAACAGAATAGAAATTTAGAGACAGAGATTAATTTTGAGGACGTGTTTTGGTGGGTATTAAATAGTGTTTACGATCTTATGATTTGGTGTCAAGGATCTAATCTCGTCAAGGAAGCGAGTGTTGAATGATTTGTTTAATTACATATAAAAATTATCATTGTTACAACTTGCCAATCCTGCAATGTGAGATGTGATGCATATTAGTATATTTTAATCAGTCGTACAACATACAATAGAATAAAATATTTCTTTATAAATTAATCTAAAGTATTAATCGTTAGAGATGTGAGTTGAATCAACACAACAATAACCCATAAGTCTCTCCATAACTTGACACATCAACATTTTCAAGTTTTTAGGAGATGACACTTCAGCAAAAAAAATACCAATAACGATCGATCTCGTTTAAAAGTTCAAATGCAACGAAACTAATGACCAAGATGAAACAGGTAACAAGCGAATGACTAGCAAAGATGTAAGAATACGAAGAAAGAGGGTCTAGGGTTGAGATTCACGTTCAGGGGTTTCAAAGGATCAAGCTTGGTTTGAAAACTCTAGATCTACTCACTTTGTGAGGTTCTCTAAGCCTTGAAAACAAAACAAGATCCATCCATGGCGTGTGGTATGGATCACTCCTTCATTCTCTCCTCCAGACCCATGGCGTTTGGCGGAAATAGAGATTGAAGGGCAAGGAAATCAGATTCCAAACACGCGGCTTAACTAGTCCCCTAAACTACCATGACATTTGGGAAAAGGTAACTAGTCTCTAGGATGCAGTTTTCAGAGATCTATGGATCCTGTCAAGGTAAGAGCTCTCTCTGATCATAAAGATCTTGGCGTGAGACTATTTAAGCCTTGAGAACTCGACATCCTAGAAGAGAAAGCCATTAAGAACAAGAAAACACCAAACTTGAAAACCTTCTCGACCTCTTTGAATCCTCTCAACCCCAAAACCCGATTAAACTACTCACTACACATTAAGTAAACCAAGCAAGGCATGAAAGATGAAACGATAAACATGAAAACGATGGATTAAACTTAAAACGATTCAAATATTCACCTTCAAACAGAGAGAAAAAGATAAAAAGATAAAAATAAAAACGTGTCCCCCCCAAAAGCATACTCGCCGCCTTGCCAAAACAGGCGAAAACAGCTCGATGGTCCCCCCCCCTCGCTAGCGGCCAAAAGCGGTTAAAGTACACTGAGATCGACTTCGAGATCGAGCATCTCTCTCGATCATCTTCGGACATCGTGCCTTCAGCTCGATCTTTATCTCGATCTTCCTCGGTGGATCGAGTGCTTCGTTCGATCTTGGAGTCGATCTTTGGGGAAACGAGTAATAGACAAGATCCGGCTCTCGCTCTGCATGGCGTCAGTCACGTCCATACTCCTTGATCGATCGCTTCACTCGATCTCCGTCTCGATCAGTTCCCTTGGATCGGCTGGACTACTCGATCTTCTGGTCGATCTCATCTAGATCGACCGGCCATGCTCGAACATCCACTCGATCTCTGGTCCTTAGCAAGCATTCCTGAATTCTCCAAGTCCCACGAACTCTCTCACGAGCCTCAACGCGTCCACGAACCCTCCAAGACTCCAAAGTAGCCGAAAACAACCTGTATGCAATGCAAAATGCAAGAAATATGCATATGCTGGTGCAAGAACACTCTAGGACCTAAAGTGATGCTAACTAACTTAAAATGCAATGTATATGCGTGAGAAACTAACTTATGTGTATGCAAAATGCATGGAATATGCAGCTATATCAACTCCCCCAAACTTACCTTTTGCTTGCCCTCAAGCAAACAAAATTAAAGAAGGGAGAGAGGTTTTAAAACAAGCGGGGGTTTAAGCTTCTTGCCAAGGTGTTTTTCGAATGAATCAATCTCAACGTCCTAGTTACTAGTTCTAAAATGCAATACACACACTCATACTCCAAAAAACTTAGCCATACTCATTGCACAAAGAATTTCAAATCATGACTTATATTCCAAACAATCAAAGAAACTCATCCTTTTACATTCATTAATGACCGAACCATGAATCAAACTTATGCACTTTAATGCAAAACACATTTGGCTAAAGGTAAAGGCTATGAGCATAGAATGATCTCATTTTTAAAGAAGGATTTATTTTAAGCACGGGTTTCTCTCAAAGCTGGTAAGAACTTTATGCATAATGCTAAAGGTAAAGGCAATTGATGCATACATGATCAGATTCTCATCTACCCATGCAAGCTAATAATGATCCTAAAACCCTTCTCATTTTTTTTCTTTTTTAGCTCACTCACCCTCCTAAAATCTACCCTTATCTCCCAAGCAAAAGCTTAGCAAACCCCAATTCAAAATAGAAAACATCTTAACTCTTTTAGGCTAGTGAAAAGGTTTAAAAATATTAGGCTCCTTATTTCTTTCTTATTGATAGCTCTCTTATTTTTTTTCTTTCTTTTTCTTTTCTTTTTATTTTGACACTTAGGCCCTTTATTATTATTTTTTTCTTTTTATTTTGAGAGAGCTATCTTCTGAAATTATTGGAGTACTATACATTTTAAACACAAAACCTGTCACTTAAAACCTTTTATTCACTTCAAATACCAAACTCTTTTGAAACCGAAAACATATAAACATGAAAGCAACCCCAATGATCCCCCAAACTTATCCTAAGCCTACATCTAGCTTCAAAATGCAAAGCTAGCAATCATATGAGAACCTAATCATGTCGCCTAAATGTAACACTTTATGCTAAGTTCAAACCGGAAAAGGCCTCACAATGATGTCACACACGAAAACTTGGCTTCAAAGAAAGGTAAGGGTCAATGTGGGTGTTCTACTTAGGCTCACAAAGAGTGGTAAAAGGAAGAAGGGAGCCTGAATATTTTAAAATCCATGTGTTCATTTTCAAGTGCATAAGAATGATATTTAAAAATTCAAGTTAGGGTTCTCACGTAATAGGACAAGTTTCAAATCATGAGTGTTCAATTCAAGTCACAAAAGTCAAAGCTTGTGATCCAAGCATGGTAAGAACTTACTTTCAAAGTGTGAGCAAAGCTTTAGAGAACTACCAACTAGGATATTGAAACCATTCATAAGCTTAAAACACCTTTTAAAGAAAACTTTAACCCCTTATGCAAATGTAAACAACCTAGATGCTTAAAAATTCTAGACTCAATCCTAAAATGCTTAACAAGATGAATGCAACTACATGAATTGTTTTGAAAATTTTTAAAAATTTTACCAATTTTTTCCTTTTCTTTTCTATGCCTTAAATGGATGCAAGACTCAAGTTATGCAAAGATAAAATAAGATCAAAATAGACAAGTCAAACCACACACATACTCCCCCAAACTTGAATGACACCGTCCCGGTGGCAAACATGTTCGAGAGAGCTCAAAACAGAAAGCAAAAATCAAGAAAACATGAATGGTATATACAATGGAAGATGGTTGTTACCTCGGGTCTAGTCTCGGCTGGAACTTGAGGATGTTCCAGAAGAGCTAGATACTACGGCTTTGCCTTTACAGCAAAGCACTCCTCTACAGTTGGCAAGAACTCGATGTTTCCAACACCAAGCAGCTCGGTCTCGTCTTTGTTTGGCAGGATGCACACTCTCTTCTCATTGTCCGTGTCAAGGAAAAGGTAAGCGTAGAACCCTTCTGCTGGCATGCGTCCCAAGCTGTCAGTATTCCTCATGTATATCTCATCCATGAAAGCT